GTCAAAGACTGACACATGCAATACTTGCGACAAGTTGAAATTGCAGCTAAGCGAAACTCTTTCACCCGAGAAGGATGCGCTGTTAAAAGAGCAAGTTGCTCATCAGCAGAGAGCAAATGCTGCTTAGCTTCATGAAGCCACAAAAGAATCAAAGGTGGATGAACAGGTTCTCATCTTCACTTATGATTTGCAGAAGACATATCAAAACCCTTCCATATCAAAACAAGTCAGTTGTGTTTTACAAGCGCAAGATGTGCTTGTATAACCTTGGGGTGAAAGAAAAAAGGAGAAATCAAGGGTACATGCATATTTGGACTGAGGTAGAGGGAAGATGGGGTAGCCGAGAAGTTGCCTCATGCCACCTCAAATTTCTGGAGCAGAGAGACATGTCCAACATCAGGAGGATAAAAAAAAAATTCAGTGATGGCTGCGGAGGAAAAAATCGATACAAAACACTCGTCAACTTTTTCCTGCTTGCTTTGATGTATGAACTGGAGTCTTGGGAACATATATATTCGGAAATTGGTCATTCATATCTCCCAAATAATACTGACTTCGGCACCGTTGAGTCCCGAAAAAAGATGGCGCTGCAGATTTTCTCACCAGAAGAGTGGAAGACTCTAATCGAAGATGCTCACATTACCAAGCGATTCCGTGTCACTGAGATGAAAAACTCATTCATGAGACTGGAAGAAGTCATGAAGTCCCTCCTTCATCTACATTCCGGAATGTAGATGGAGGAGGGGAGAAAGTGGTATGGAGACAGATCAAGTGGCTTTGCGTCAGTAAAGGTAGTCGCATTATGCGGTTTTCATTCAGCTGTGAAGGATCAGCTATCCGCAACGTGAATTTCGGAAAAAGGAATAATCCTCACTTTCCCTCGGTCCTTTCCAATGCCTACCCTGATGGGGTTAGGTTGACCCAACCAAAATATGAGGACCTCATGGATCTCTTACCTCTGATCCCACCCGTTCATCATCCATATTTTAAGAATCTTCCCCGTGAACGCTGGAGGCGATAAACAGATGAGGAATTCCTCCCTGATCAAGGTGAGGATGAAGTATGACTTTCCGTCCAGTCATTGGTGATGAAAATGGATTTGACTTTTGTTATTGTCTATAAGATTTCCATATTGCGTTCTTTGGAATAAAGGAAAATCTTCCATTCTTCTGTTTTGGAGAAATGGCCAATCCATTAATCCCTGTTTGGAAAAGTTGCTTTATTATTCTTTATGAGCATTAAATGCAATGTATCGGAAATGTACTTCTTATAACTCTGTAATGTTCCGGACTTGAATTAGGATTAAAGACTTCGAACGCCTCGAAAAACATATTTTGCAGATAGACCACTCTTCCTTTCAGTCCTACAACCACACTTTGCAATGAAAGGCAAAGTGGTCTATGTACATAGACCACATTTTCCGTTTTTCGGAATTTTTTTCGCAGACTTTGCCTTTCAGCCCTTCAATTATATATTGCCTGTTCTTCAGGTATTTACAAACCTTAAAAGTACATTTCCCCTTACTCAATAGTTTTCACTTTCCTCGGAAATATTCTATGGTCAATGTCATCACAAGATCATCTATCACAGTGACATTGAAGAATTTCTTCTAATCAAATAAAATCATAAGCACCAAGCAACAAATCATTTGGCAAATTATAAAGCTACACTACAGATACTATCCAATCAATTAACTGATATTTAATATTCAACTGCCACAAAGAAAATAAGTCTTAGGAAAACTGCAAGGAACAAGATCAAGAAGGCCTAGGCCCGAACCAAAAAAGCATTTAAAAGCTCAGTGCAATCCCAAAAAAAAGAAATACTGCAATGGAGATCAACAAGGCCTAGGCCCGAACAAAAAGAGGATTTCAAAGCTCAGTTGAATTCATGGCCTCTATGGCCAGGACTCTCCCACCTGAAATTCAATGCCCGCCGACCACGTCTTCGAATCTAAGGGGAAACTTGAACAAATGGAGCCCATTTCTGCTCCTACTCGAGGAGTTAGGGACCGAACACCCTGGTATCTCGATGCAAAGTAGGAGGAACGGGGCCCTCAGCATGGACTAATGATTGCTCCATCACAGATTACCGTTGTGCCTATGGGTCGTCCTTACCTGAGAGCTAGAGTGTCTTCGATTTACCTTGCACTCTATTGTCCCAGTCCCGTCCTTCAATGTTGCCGGATATCGTGCCTTAGTTATCCTAGATTCCTGACTTCATCGGCCTTAGTATCGCCGTCTGGATATTCTCTATTTAATATAGGATACATTAATGAGCTAAATTCATGGGATGAGCTGAGATTGAAGAGGCGTTTTGCTGTGGCCGATCGATTTGGTGGAAAACGGAGGTATCTCATTCGGACATCCTTAAATTAACATGATGGCGGCCAGCTTCCACGTCATGCTTTCTAAAGGCAAATGCTATAGTTCCTCGAATCGTCTTCTCAGGCTGAGTCGAGACGATTCGAGGAACTCTGGATAGGCTTAATCGACCGCACCGACCCGACCGCACCGAAATGGCTCGTGAAACTCGTAAATGACCTACATTTCGTCTAACGTTACACGTTCTCTGTTGAATGTGCTATGAGAGACTGAATAGAGCTACGATAAGCCTAATGTTACACGTCCTCAACGAGATATCTCAGGCCTATAATGATTAATCCCTGGTCTCCAATTGTTACGTAGGCCGAGGATTGAGTTTCTTTTGAACGGAAAAAGGTAGTCCTAGGCCTGACCCGATGACAGACCGATGACCCGACTCGGCATCGACTTTGGAGGAGGTGACCTCGGCGCGCATCAAGGATATTTCCATCACCGCGGAGACAATCGTGAATATGATAGGAAAGTTAAAGGTGGGCAAGGCAACCGGCCCCGATGGGATTCCTGCGAGAGTCCTCAAGGAAACTGAGAGAAATATCGCTTCAACTAATAATCATATTTGAAAGCGGCTTTTCGCGCGGGGAGGTACCTAAGGACTGCAGACTAGCGAACGTCGTACCGATCTTTAAGAAGGGCGAAAAGAGTAATCTGGGGAATTACAGGCCGGTAAGTCTCACGAGTATCCCATGGAAGATCATGGAGAGCATACTAAGGGACCATCTCTTGGATTTCCTCGAAGGAAACGCGCTCTTTCGGGACTCTCAACACGGCTTTAGGAAGCTTCGAAAGTGTCTCACCAATTTCCCGAATTCTACGACTGGGCGACGGAAGAGTGGGATGAAGGGAATCCTGTGGACATCGTCTATTTAGATTTCGCGAAAGCTTTCGATACCGTTCCTCACAAGAGGTTGCAGGTTAAACTGGAGACGCACGGGATCCAGGGTAGGACGAGCGAGTGGATCAGTAGCTGGTTGGCAGGACGAGAGCAACGGGTGATGATGAATGGGGAAGCGTCGAAGGAGGTCGGACGAGCAAGCGGTGTCCCTCAAGGCGAGGTCCTCCAACCGCTTCTGTTTTTGGTCTACATAAACGATTTGGATCTCGGCGTAGAGGGTAAGATGAGTAAATTTGCCGACGACACCAATATAGGTTTTATCATAAGGGAGGAGGCGGATAGGGCTCGAGCCGAGCGAGATTTAAGTCTTTTGGACGAGTGGAGCAAAAAATGGCTCATGAGGTTTAATAAAAGTAAGTGTAAAGTTCTCCACGCCGGTCGAAACAACAGTAGGTCTCTGGACACGTTCGGCGAGGTTAACTTGGGTGAGGCAAATGGAGAGGGAGAGATTTAAGAATTTCTATCGACGATGACCTCAAGTTTTCCTCGCACGCGCAAGCGACGGTGGCCATATGTAGCAGGATTCTAGGTTTCATTCGTCATTCGGTTGCAAGTACCTAGGTAGGACTTCGCGCGTTATTCTTCCGCTATATGCGGCGCTGATACGACCCCAGATGGAATATTGCATCCAGTTTTGGAGGCCTACAAATAAGGGCAATTTGTTGGCGCTCGAGGGGGTGCAGAGGAGGGCTACAATAACGATTAAGGAAGTTAGGGGACTTCCGTACGAGAAGCGTTTAGAAGTGTTGGGACTGTATTCGCTCGAGAGAAGGTTAAGGAGGGGCGATCTCATCCAGGCATTCAAGATAATTAAAGGTGTAGATAATGTGGAGTGTAGTAGATTTTTCTATTTTGATGCCAGCAAGATAACGAGAGGTAACCAACTTAAGTTGCTTGAACCGCAGGTGCGGCTCAAGTCGAGACAGGAATTCTTTACTTGCAGGGTGGTGAACGCGTGGAATGCGGTAGATGACGAAGTAGTGGCTGCCCCTTTTCTGATCATCTTTAAGAAGAAACTGGATGCTTTTATGGACAGGTAAAAAGGTGGGGGGCAATGTTGAAGTTGAAGTTAGATGCTAGGCAGTAAGCAACTAGGATGCGAAAAAATAAAAAAATAAAATAAAAATTAGCTTTAAAAGGATTCGGCCTACCCTAAAATTAAGGAAGGCTCGACCTCGACGCGTGATATCGAAATGGGTGTAATCGCCTCTTGATACCACTATCTTGAATCTTCAATCTTGACAATCCATCGGTTTGGTCAAACGTTAGTGTGTTCCGTAGAGAAGGTGGGAGGGGGAGGGTGAGTTGAGGTTGGGTTGAGGTCGAAGAAAGGTAAAGAAAGAAGAAAGGTATATCATTGAAATTGATTTTCACATTACTACGTTCTACTGTAACTGCAGTGGTTCTGCACGTGCTTGAAGGAAACATGAGTAAAATTGCCGAAAAACGCATACGAACACTCGATACGCATATGTTTGGGGCTTCGCGCAGCAGACAATGAAATCTCATGAACTCCAGGTGGATGCAACATGTGCGAAAGTAGTGCCGCACCGTGAAAGAAATACATTTCTTGATTTTCTTAGTTTCAGCTGATTCGTGTGTAGGATTCTGCGAAAACAATGCAAGTGAGTCACCGTCCATTCAAGAAGGCTAAGGTCTCCGTGAACGCAACCAAGAGCTTCATATCGGTGCCAACACGTGTCGTAGCGTTACGATGCGGGACTTCAGGGCAAGCGGATTTCGCAGATCACGCCAAACAGAAACCGACAATAAAAGTCATACCACAGGTTATTATAACCAATGCCCATGCATTGTTCCAGTTGCCCACCGTAACTAAAGGTTGGCTCTCCGGAATTCCAGAAGGTCTGCACCGAGGCCGACACCAACGTTCCTGTGACAAGGATAAAAGAGATGACAATGGAATCGTGTGGATGCGAGATTGCTTTCGGGCTGGACTTCTGCTGGAGTTCAAGCTATTAAATTCATACTCGGTAACGAAGAGAATTTCTCAACGAAATATTTCCGATAAATAAAAACGTCTATTCTTCGCGTTCAGCCACGGACAATCAAACCACAGTCTCCTTCTCGTGATGGATCCAGTAATTTCTTCAAAGATATGGAAAATACGCTCTATACATACTAAACAAAACATAGACACGAGTCATTGCTTTGATAACGCTAAGGAAAGTAAGAGGCAAATTATGTTTCCGAACAATTCCACTTCCAGCGCAAAAATAAACGTTGACATCGACACGTTAGAGTGCAAAAGGATTTAGAAAGCCCTTACCGTCGTTCCAATTATAGATATGATCCCCATCCAGGTCGTCGCCTCCATACCATGATTTCCCACCAGCATTCGCCGCGGAGTACTGCAGGACGAAGTTGTGCCAAGCGGGGCCCTTGTCATCTTGAACGAGGTGGTCCGCGCCGTCCGCCTTGCAAGCAGCCAACCCAGTGGTGTAATTCATGGTCCTGGTGAGAGCCTTCAGGAAGTGCAACTTGTCCGTGATCATCGCAAAGGTGTAACCAGATGGGACGGAGGCTGTCGTAATAAACATCAGGGAAGTAATCCGTGCGAGGGCAAAAGAGTGAGTCACAAGGCTCAAGATCTCGGACACGAGGAGATCTCTTCGTTGCTTTAAAATCTTAGCTAATCGCGAAATATTCCCGAAAATTTAAAAGTGGCGATCCTCTCAAACGCGAAGCTCAAAACTATGTCTCTAGTTTCGGAATCTCCGGAACGAAGGACAACACCTGAAAATGACATCGGGACGCTAAGGCTTTGGTATCTCCCAACGAGAAGACTAGGCTGCGGTGAAAGCAGAAGGTTCATAGTTCGGTCTTTCTTTCCTTACATGATGTTTTTCATGCGCGCTCGAGAATGATGCGGACTCACTTGGAATATTCATTTGAATTAGAGAGTAGTCCGTGCAAAAGCATGGATGAATTTCAAGGCAATGAATGCGAACATGGCCATAAGGGGGGGGGGGGGGGGGGGGGGGGGGGGGGGGGCGACCGCCCCCCTGGATCCGCCACTGGCTGGAAATGTGAGAATACATGGGCGCGGCAAAAATACCCCTAATTTCTCGAATGTCTGCCCCTGTGCTAATCGTCATGGCAAAGGCAGGGGATGGGGAACTGACGCGGAGTGAAGACGAAGGACCGCTCAAAAATCAAGATGTTACCTTAAATAAGTGATGAGCAACCTTTCCTGACATGCGGCCGCAAGTGAACCTTTTAGGTTCCCAGCGGGTCCCGCATCTATTTTTCCCCCCATTCAATTACAGGTTCTATGCCTTCTGAGCACCAAAATAATTATGAGCCTGGCTTAGTAAACCAGGTACTAAAATGGTATATGCTAATGATATGGAAATAACTCATGTTGAATTTTCTTCTCATCTTTTTACCGATCAAAATACCAAGCAAGGCGCTTGCTCAGAGAGCAGTCATGCACTAACCAAGAAGAAAGTGAAGGGATATTTGCAACTGTGGTGGAAATTTAGATTTTATGTTTAATTTCTTGCTTCCGTTTCTCCTGCAATGGACGATGGAATCCTTGAGCGCACATGCACTCTGCTCCAGATGGCAGGTGGAAGGGAAAAAAATTGGAATTAACAAAGCCCAGCGGGCCGCACACTAGGACCTCGCGGGCCACATGCGGCCCGCGATCCGCGGGTTGCTCCTCACTGCCTTAAATCGTCCATTTGCAGGTCTATGTGTTAAGTGGGTTTTTATTGGCGACTTCACGATGCTCTGCTGACAACGCAACTCGCCGCGGACGTTTCCGAATGGTAGTGGCCATTGACTACACTTCGTGAACCTGCAGGGAGCGCAAAAAAAGTTATACATTATTCATCTAGCTGCCACATATTCAGTATTCGTGAAGGAGGCCTGTATAAGACATGAAGTCTTGCTTAGAATGCCTAGACCACAATCAAGCACAATTCATTTTGTGAGAACTGGTTCTGAAGTTTTTGCACAGTGACGTTTTCACGGCGAGAGGTGAAAAACTGCAGCTGCGCGAACGACGGATTCTCCTTAACCGTACGCGTGTATATTTAGAGGCCTGCACTGCACGCAAAAACATTCCCTGGTAAAATGTTAGGCAGACAAAAAGAAAGAATTTGAAAGAACACCAAAAAAGGGACAGGGTCTACGCAGATTTAGGCCGCAGGAGCCTCGCTCCTCCGAACCGTCTGCTGAACAGAGCCCTTACGCCCGTTCATAATGGTATCGGGAGGTTTATCGCGCAGCCGCGGTTTTCCACCTCTCGCCCTAAAATCCTCACTGCACAGTGGGTTAGCAGGTAATAAGCCAGAAAATCCAATATCTAAAATTTGTCCTACTTTTTTTTTCCACAAACAGTAACCCCGACTGGTGGAAATGCAATTATATTTTGTAGATAGGGCAAACAAAAATACAATTTTGATACTGAAAAATTGAAAACATGGTAATTTTCCTCAATATTGTAATAATAAAAAAATCTGACCGATTTTTGAAAAATGGTGAACCATGAAAGTCTGCGTCAATCTTGTTTTGACTTGTACCCCTATCGTGTGCACATGCCATCGACCACTACCACCACGGTAAATTTTACAATTTAGGAGATAATGCGTATGTGATCGTGAGAAAACCAGCTTTGTAACCCAAACGAATCCCAATGTTTTTTGCTACAAGGGAGATTACCAGAAGCTTACGGGCGTAAAAGAGGGTAGCAGACATCCCAGTGAGATTACTCAGGACGGCGAAATTCTGACTTCCCAGTTGACAGACCGTGGTGTTGGGCCAAATCTCGAGAGAGAACGCCACGCATTCCTCGTTCCTGTGAAACCAGCCGCAGAAACGAATTAGCTTGATGTCGATGCAATAAACTCACATGATGTTTCGAGGGAAATGTTCACCTGACACACGAATCCGCGCAGGTGGCGAGGTCCAAGCCGGTGAAGTTGCATATGGAATTTTCGATCGTTGCAGTGACACTAAGCTGGTAGAACATCTTCTGTCTGATTGCTACCCCCTGTGCGGTTCCTCGTGAGCATGAATTCAAGAAGATGAGGAAACCGACCTGGAAAAGAAAATTTTACCTCTTGAGTTTTGATGCATCTGGAGCCTTTAAAGGAAACTTCAAGTTCTTTTCCTTGTTACCATTTCTCGTGATCTCATGGTCTAACTACGAAAATTTCATTCGTTCCTTATGTTAAACCACGTAAAGCTTGTGCTACTGACGAAATATCTCCAGAATTCGCTAGTCATTTAGCTCGATCTGTCACCATTGTAACAGACCCAGAGACTCCCATGGCTTTCTTAAAAATTATATATGTCGTCGGAGAAACGTTAAGTATAAGTGCTTATTTTGAGACGAATCTGAGATGGCAGCACGCTTCATCCCATCAGCCAAAGAGTACGCAGGAATCTTCCAAAGAGAAAAGGGACATATCAAAAATAGAGGATAAGAACTGGGAAGAAAAGAAGGAGAAGAAAAATTAATATGAGGAAAATAAAACATGTTCTCCCCCCATCATGACTCACTGCCCGCAGGATCCATAGTTGCCTTGCCGTCTCCGTATGCTTCGTGTCCCTCATCTTTCACTTCATCTCAATTGATCACTTCTCATACAATTCCTTTTCAAACGCGATTGAGTTCCACGTAAGGGCTGGACCTATTAAGAAGAAAAACCTCTGGATTTAATTTCAGTTTTTGGAGCAGGCCTTTCTTGTAGTGTCGCGAATATGCTTCATTGCAACATTCTCGTTTAGCTCCTTAATTGCTACTGTCCCGACAATACGTCGGAGTGAGTGGTTTCACTAGCGCTATTGTCGTTTTTAAGCATGTCACATTTCCCTCTTTTCATCGCTACTGTCAATTTTACTCGACGGATTCCATCCATCAAGGAACATGTTTTCACATCTCTCGGCTGTCTCTGGGACATTCTGTAGTTCGTTTGAGGCGTTTATTGCCTGAAAAATAAGCTGTTTTCATGCTCCTGCTTCCTGAAACATGCCATTGAAATTTTACAAATGCATTGGATGTCATGTACATGTTCATTGACTGCATATTGGAAGGTATGATGCTTTATGTACAAAACCCATAAGCGATGAACGGTTTTGACAGCTCAGATTTCATTTCCTGAAAACCGGTGAAGCCAAGGCCTACGAATAGCTAACTGACAGGCGAATGAACTGCGTTCTTGCTCACGCCTGAATTCTTGTCATATCTAAAATGTTCTGCTTCGCCTAGAAGCTCTCCTATATTCTTTGTCTTGGCGCTGAAGTTATGAGAAGACCGACGTGACGAAGAATTGAGCAATCCTGTGAAGGCATGACTCGTCCCTAGGGGTGGGGCGGTCAATTTACCGGGTCAATAACCAGGCAATTAACTGGTCAATTGACCACCTTCCTATTGACCCGCTATTTTTCATTCAGCGAATTAAGAATTTTTTGAGCACATAATTGTGGTCATTTATCCTCCCGTCAATGACTAAGTTCCATTTTCAAATTATATTAATGGAGCCCGCCAAACATCTGGACTGTGTCACCCGTTGAGTATGAAAATTCGAGCTTACAGGGTCTTTCAAAAGTCACGCAACCCATCATGTACAATGTTTTCTGAGCAACTTAAATTGAGTTGAATTAATCAAAACTGGCCTAAAATAGAAGGACCACATCTTACCTATGAAAAAAGTGTTAAAGGAAGTTTTGGAAGGGACCATCGCGTTCCTGCAAGCACATTACGACACGCTTGCGCATGTTCGCATTCAACATAGTGTAAGGTCGCACGAGTAATGCGGGCAATGGCCTGTGCAATGTTATGCTTCGACGGTTCCAAGTCTCTGGGATTGTTAGCGTATACTCTTTCGTTAAGGTATCCCCACAGAAAATAGTGAGGTCTGGAGACCAGAGGTTCTTGCTTATGGGCGGTTGCTCCGTCTTGTTGCAAGCACGAATCACGTTCGTAAATTTCTATCATGGCGATATATTGCTGAATGATGTGTTGATAATGTTCAGCATTCCCAGTTTCTTTGAAAAATACGGGACCAACAATACATCATGCAAGAAATTTTGTGTATATATTCCAACAGCAACAGCACTTGTTTATATACTGTATAGGGTTGCGCGACTTTAGAAAGACCCTGTATTATAAGAAATTCTTAAAAACTACCAGGACCTCTCACTCGAATGGAATAGTGCATGTTTCACTCTTAGTCTGCTGTTCAAGGTCTTCCGGCCTTAATGACTTTGAAAGTTAGGGTTCAAGATCCAAGTTACAGCTTCAGAACTTCAGTTCAAGACAAGGTCTATCATGGTCTTGGCTTGTTCTGCATCAGTCAGTGATCAAGGAACATGTACTTGAATTATGCCTAGGACAAAGCCTATCAAAACAAATTTAATCTCGAGTCTGAAGAACTGCCTCGAGCAAGACAGAGGCTATTTTTTTCCTCAATTTTTTATTAGCTATTTTTTAGCTATTTTTTCCTGCCAGAAATAGGAATAAAAGCTAATTCCAGAAACTATGAAACTCCAATTCTGGAAACCATGTATTGCATTTGTCATTATTCTGAGTACGTATGGTGCTATATAGTCACAGAATTTATATCTGAACTAGCGGCCTGCGGCCGCTACGCTGGCCGTCTAATAGGCGGAAATATGAATTGTCTATTATGAGCATAACGTCTTCATGACATCATCTCTTCATCCCATTGCCTTTTCGGAACTGACCCGCTTCATTAGATTTATGCACATACAGCTTACAGTACAGAGGAAGATTTTGTTCCTAAACACATTCAGCATGATATTCGAGCTCATTGCCACAATCGCCATTGTGAACGCTTCGGTTTAGCAGGTTTTCATGAGACTCAAGACTACTTTGCTAATTTCGTTGTCCCAGCACATTCGATACTCTTGCATCACCGATTAGCTACTGGTCTATAAGCATAAGCTTATGGCACAGACACCACTGTTTCTGGACCAGAAAATTTCCAAGAACTTGTTTGACTTTAACACAGAAGGAAATTGGCGCATGTGCGGCACAATGCTAAAGCCCAAATCCTGAAAATGCATCGCCGCCACATTTAGCACCAGTGAGCAACACTTTCTGAGCCTCGGAGTAAAGTATGAGTTGCAGCAGGAGCATTTTTCAGTTGTGAAACAAATTCCTCCTCCCTACATCAAAATGTACAGCCTGACAGAGCTCGCTGCGTCAAACGACTGTAGTGATTGAGATGACATGGAGAGTCATAACATCCCGAATTCCGTGGTGTAATGGCAGCACACCTGACCGGCAAGCAGGAGGACCGGGTTGAATTATTGGCAGCCCGCGGCTTTCGACACCTGAGTGCTGCGTTTCTTGCATCAGCATTCGCTCCCTCTTGCTGTTCAGCGGTCTGAGCGACCCTACGCACGTCTGCTTGCTGTTCATCACTGATTCTAGCCATTACGGCTTGCACCGATTTGGGCACTTCGCACCGCCACTGCAGAGGCAAACGTCGTTTCCGCGGCAGCACCAACCGTTTTTTACCAGCAACAACTGCTTCATCGCCGTCCTGTGGGACCTGCTTCAACATTTATTCTTCGTGTCCAACCTCAACTCGCAAAAATCGCCACCATTTTGATGGAAGGTGCACCTCTTTTGCACGATGCATGACACATAGACATTTTAGACTTATTTTGACTTCATCAATCATGAGAACTCAAATAAATCGGCCATGACATGAAACGCAAACAAAAAACTATTGCGTGGAAGCGATGGCGCGAATCGCGACGTCTGACGTGACGGAAAAAAATAAGTACAGGAAAAAAACACCATCAAGGAATGTATTCAAATGAAGAACTTCCAGTCGATCAGTGAAAACGTGACACGCATTCAGTTAGCTGTGTCAAGCAAAGGGTGTTACTAAGTATGCAGCCTATGTAAATAATAGGATGAGCCAAAGCCTATGGCTCAGATTGATATAGCCCGCTGGACCTGGCGCTATGTGCGTGGAATGGCCAAGCCTTTGGCCTAGTATAGCATAGCCCCATGGACTCAACTCTCGGGCTCTTCGAATTAAAGTATGTGATGATGGCTTGGAAAGGCGCAGCCTTGTAGGCCTGGCCTATGACCCAGAATGGCTTTGCATCGTAGGCCCGCACGTGGGGGTGATAACAAATGCCCCTTCCTACATGAAAATGTGCAACCTGACTGTGCTTGCTGTGACAAACGACTGTAATTATTGAGATGACAGGAAGAGGCATGGCAAAATGTCCTGAGTTCCGTGGTGTAATTGTAGCGCATGCTATATAGCAATGCTTGCCTGACTGGCAAGCAGGAGGTCCAGGTTCAATTCCCGGCCGCCCCCCGGCTTTCGACCTGAGTGCTGCGTTCCTTGCATCAAGTTGCCCAGCAGACTGCACGGCTCTCCTATTCCGGAGCTAAGCATTTGCTGGCTCTTGCTGTTCACCGGTCTGAGCGGCCATACACTCCCTACGCATATTTGCTTACTGTTCATAATTGATTCTAGCCATTACAGCTAGCACCGATTTAGGCACTTCGCACCGCCACTGCAGAGGCAAACGTTGTTTCCGCGACAGCACCAATCGTTTTTTATCTGCAGCGACTGCCTCATCACCGTCCTGTGGGACCTCTTTCAACATTTTTTTACATGTTCAACCTCACCTAGCAAAAATCGCCACCATTTTGATGGGAGGAGCGGCCCATTTGCGCGACGTATGAAACAAAGAACTTACATTATTCTTTTGGTTTCATCAATCATGAGAATTCAAATAAATCGTCCAGGACATGAAACGCAAACAAAAACTATTGCGTGGAAGCGATGGCGCGAACCGCGATGTCTGACCTGACGGGAAAAAAAAAAACCTCAGAAAGGAATGTATTCAAATGAAGACCTTCCTGTCAATCAGTGAAAACCTGACATGCATTCAGTTATTACCACCCTTTGATAGCTGTGTCAAGGTATTAAGCCTATGGCTCAGACTGATATAGCTGGCGCTATAAGTGTTGGATGGCCTGGAATAGCATAGCCTCAAGGACCTGGCGCATTGAGGGGTGGATGGCCTGGCCTATGGCATGAAGTGACATAGTCACGTAGTACTCGCGCGCTGGGGTGACAACCACGACAACTCTCGAATTAAAGTATATGATGGCTTGGAAAGGCGCAGCCTTGTAGGCATGGCCTATGACCCAGAATGGCTTTGCATCGTAGGCCGCGCCGTGGGGGTGACAGCCACCACCACCACCGCAGCTTTTGACCTCTTCGAATTAAAGTATAGGATAATAATTAGGGAAATAGACTCACGACAGAATGCTCCTTCTTTCACGAAGCCGTGGTAGCATTGGCATCGTAGACCTTCAGGTGATCCTCCACAGAATGAATTACTGACGCAATCTCCCGAATGCGAACATTCCCCTTCAACTGCTACCCCTGCCAAGAAAACAATCGTGGAAGTGCGAAATTTGGAATGTTCACGTGGCTAGTCGGGGTGCCATGAGAGAAACCATTGATAATGCAAAGCTGGGTCCTCGATGGTTTTTCTCAATATTGTCATTAGAACTCGCATGAGATGCTCTTAGCTCGATCACTGTGACG